ACAGGTTGGCTCTGTGGGTGTTGAACAAAAATACAAATGTGCCTGAGCAAACATCTTCAATAGGGATTGGCTAGCAGCCCTAATAGATGGGTATCCTTGACCACGAGTAGCTTGCTATTATTATTATTATTATTGTGTGTATATATATATATATATATATATATATAGGTAGATAGATAGATATGTAGAAAAATAGGAAAGAAGATGTTAGGTAAATAATCCAGAGTTCTTTAGTATTTTTGTTTTTATTTTTAAAAAAACAGTGCTCCATACAGAAGTAGAGCTTAAATTGGTGAAGGAATCATATTTTTAAAAAAATAATAATAATATATTCCCAACTATGTTTTAAATAGCAGACTCTCAAGGCTTGGTTGGCAGCCACTGAAGTAGAATGAAAACTCTGAATTCAAACCTAAGGAGGGGGGCACACATTTTAGAGACTTGGTGGCAAACTGGGCACCGGTTCTATGTTATCAATTCTCCCAAAAAGTCTGGCTGGTTTTTCTGTTTTTCGATCTGCATGAATACCAAAATACATTTTTCCATTTTTTTTTGTATTCATGTAGATCTTTCTCTTATTTGTTTTTCTATTCTATTCTCTTTTATTCTTCTTTTTCTTTGAAGTTATGACATGTTGTCTTTTAATTTTTCTTAACTCTTATATTTCTCTTTCTTCTTTCTCTTTTTTCATTTTATTGTCTTCTTATCCTCATACCTGTTTTCTTATTATTATTATTATTATTTTTTCTTTTCCTTTTATGGAAACCCTTTATATATTTCTTTTTTTATGGTGTTTCTCCTCATGTCTTTTTTAAAAAATTCGAATAATGAAAAAAAGAAAGTGATGTTTCATAAGTATCATTTTAAAATAGAATCGTTCATAACCATCTTTGTTCGTCACCTGTTGAGATGCATTCATATCAAAACTAAAATGCATCTTTGTCATGAGTAATTGTTTTATCCATATGTAATATCTTTATAATAAATAATTATTGCTCTACTCTTGGTGTTGAGCCCTCTTTTAAATTAATGCTATGAATGTTTCAATTTATATTCTTTTCGTTCTTGTTACATAATATGAACAAGTTCTGTCTACCAATTTTTTTCATTAAATCTTTAAAACTTCCAAGTAAGTTGTTTTCTTTATCAGTAAATTTACCAAAATTCATATTCCCTTTTATTTCATATTTTTTTCCCCCTAAGTATTTTCAAATGATACTCCATTTGTTTTCAAGGATTGTTCTGTGTGTAATTGTGTAACTGGTTTTTAATTCCACTGTTGTTCTCATGTTTGATGGAATTAATTTCAACTTACTCAAGGCAACCTCATATAAATGGTCAAACTGAAACTTTTATGTTTGTATTTCATTCTTTTTTGTTTTTGAAAAACACTTCAATATCCTATGGAGAAAGACACCTTATTTAATGTTGGCTGCTTCACTTTTATTACAACAACCTCCAGAATTTGTTGTCTTTCTTTGCACTGTGTCCTATGTGAAATTTTGGTGTTATCTACTAAAATTTGTTTTATGTTAATACTATTTTGTCATTAAGTCCATCTATATGGACACAGACAAAATAATATTAGACCAATTTTAGTTGACAACACCAAAATTTTATACAGGAGACATGGCAAAGAAAGACTTCAAATGCTGTATGGAAAAAATATTAGAAAATAAAAATTAATATTAATTTTGGCAAATTTACCAATAAAACAAAATGACTTATTCGAAAATTTGAAAGATTTAATTAAAAAAAAAAATTGGTAGACAGAACTTGTTCATATTATTTAAGGAAACCTGTTTGAGACAATTCTTACTGTAAAATACACCTTTATATATATATATATATATATATATATATATATATATATATAATATAATATATGGATCAAATACAGATTAAATATGGATCAGAATCTGACAATGATAGAATAAAGAACTAATAGGAAATGTTTATAAATATTATAAATGTTTTACTAAAGCTTCACCAGAGAATGATATATAGGGAAAGAAAGAAATTCTGTTTTTTTTTTGTGTATGTTGTTTCATTTTCATTGCTTAAGCAGGCTTCACATGCATTTGTCTTGTTAAGCAGCATTACTATACAGAGAGATGATGCATCCTTTTGAAGCCTAAAAAAAATAACAGATTCTGAGTCTAACTGGAAAACAAAATATAAATATTACTTCATGTATGTAAGTGTATAATAATTCTAGTTTGTTGATGTGGAATTCAGATGATAATGTATGTTTGGAATTGTGTATGTGTGTAATAGGCATTATTTGGTAGTTGTCATATATATATATATATATATATATATATATATATATATATAAAATACTAGCAAATAGATCCTGAAGAAGTATGAACATTAAATCCTTATCACCAAGTGTTTGTTGCAAACACATAATTTTACTTTTGTCTAGGATCACAAGTTTTATTTGGATAAATCAATTTTTAGAAAAAAATAATTTCATAAAAAATTAATCTTTAAATGTTCTTTTTTTTTTAAAAGGAGGAAATAATGGTATTACTTTTGATTCCAGTTTGGGTATGGACCATAATGATAATACTGAATGCAGAGAAGACCCAACAGAAAAACAAGGGCTGATGGGAAAACGCCGAACTGGTTGGAGTTCATGTTCTACCAGAGCATTCAAAGAATTAATTAGGTAAGAATGATGGTTATCTCTAAGATTCTATTCTGTTTGTTTTTTTAGTGAGGGGGATATTTATGTATGGTTGTCAGTTTGTCATATTTGTTCCTTTTCCAGAACTGTAATCAATTGTATTTTCTGACCAATATAATAATAATTCAGAAGCAGGATGTGGAGGCGGAAGAAAAGTAGGCAGAAAAAAAAAACGAAGGTAAATGTCACAACACACACCCATACATATATACAAACATATGTACACATATACAACACCATACACAACAAGAACCAAAATCACTAGTGCATTTCCATCAAAGTCAATGTTTTAGGGTAAATTGAATTTGTTTTTATGTCGGCACTTAAAAATAAACTTCACTCCTTTGGTTCAATAGTTGGCCAGCATTTTTGTATTTAATTATTAAGATTTTCTGTATGCATAGATTGCATCTATACTGGAAGTTGTTGGGAATTTGAGACTGACAGAAAATATCCCATTTAATTTGTGGGGTGAAGCCTCTATCTTAAAGTCTCCAAAAATGCTTAGAGAGAGCAGAAGGAATGCCAGTGATTGTAGAATCTATGTTTTCAACTCCCAGCTGAGATACTGATGTATACTTTTTTTATCATTAATATTTTCTTTTGGGAAGATGGTAGCTTGGTATACAACATTATCCGAATTACAGATACCTCCAACTGGGCAGTTGGTTCTGGTTCTACAATTGCAAGAGGGCTTCTTATTTGGGATGTTGCTGTCATAAAATGATCTTAATATTTTATTGTTATGTGAGTCAATAATAATATTATATGTGTTGTTTGTGCAGGAATAACTAATTTTTAAAGTTTTTCTATTGAAAATATTTTTTTCTTTAAACCTGTAATTATTATGCATGCATTCACACCAATACACATTTGTACATATGGACATTTATTCTCTCAAATTTTATTTCTAAAGGCATTTTTTCTTATTCACTGCATTGTCACCATTGTTGTTATTAAATTGTTGTATTCAAATTGGTTTGACAATGTTGTTTTATTCCTTGTTTTGGGCAATTGAATGTTCATTAGCTCTTTCTTCCTCTTGTTTGCTATCAACTGAAACATAACCTTCCTTTTCCCCTTTATAGGGATTAGCAGTAAACTCAATCATTGTAACAATGCCAACAACCACATCAGCAGTAGCTTGTGCAACAATACATGAATTCTCATGTTCTTTGGGAGATTGTGTTTCCAACATTAAAAAAAAAAGAAACAAATATTTTACACTGGCTACATATACACCACACCCTCTTATAGGATGCCTTATAAGCTGTTGAAACTCAGTGCAATTTGTACACATATTGACAAGCATATTGCAAGCAATCAAGTTATAACTATCAGCATAAGACAAATACTAGTGGATAATACGAAAATACTCTACAGCACCCAGTGCAAGGAAAGATTTAGAACTCTAATATAAAAATTTACTTTGTAGAAATATATACTCTATAGCAATCAATGCAAGGAAAGATTCAAAATCCTAGGCACTAATATTATACAAAATAAACAAACCACATTTAAATAAAATATCTTTCATCACAGGAGAAGGTCTCTAAAAGTGTGTATAAAAAATATAATAATAATAATAAACATAATATTGGATACATTCTTTTCAAGTGTGGTCTGACTTGCTTTAACTGTTACACATGATATTACTTTGGACTGATGATTCAAACATTCAGCTCTCTATAGATTACCGGGATATAACCAACAGAATTTTTTTTTAATCATTTCATCCCAAGCAAAAAACTGAGAATAGGCAGGACTTAGTAGAAGTGGTGGTTGTACTTAGCTATTTCAACAGTAAAACTTATTTGGAGAGATCTATGAGAGATTGGTTGATTGGTTATGTGTCAATCCATATCAGATTATTTAATAACATAGATAAGCCTTAGAGAACAAAAGTTACAATAGATTAATTGATAGACATGAGTTGAATTTATACAAGAGTCAAAAGGCAGGTGTAGGTTCAGTCATGGAATGCAGAATGTGAACAGTTTACCCTTGACAAACACCTGAAGAAGGCCAGAGTTTACAATGGCTGAAACATTGTGACTAAGAGTTTCATTTTATTTTCCTCGTTTTTGTATTTGTTCATTTTTATTTGCAGTTCCCATGGGGCTCAGTGTCTGTTTGAAGAAAATATCCGACTAGAAATGATGGATCCAAATACTATTGGCATTGTACTTAATGGTTATCTACCAGGTAACTAGTTAATAACATTTCACTTATTTCCTAATTACAATATATACTTTGAAACATTAAAAGCAAACTATTATTAGCTTTAAAGTAATTGTCTCTCTTTAAGTCATATAATGTGCTTCCTCCCTGCAAAAAATATTCCTCATTAGTCAGATATACTAACAAAAAATTATTTTTAGGTATGTATCTAAGTCCTGATGAAACTTGTGAAGCAAGGCATGGCCTTGGTTACCGATATCGGTTCTACCCAGATTTGGTAAGTACTGTTTATTTATCTTTCTTTGTGTTACCTAAATATACAAAGCAATAATGCTATAGTTTTACTTGGTAGCTTACCCACCATTTCTATTAATCAAGAAGGTGTGAGCATTTTGAAAGGATTGGGGATTAATGCATGTGTGTAGAATGGGTAAAACTTAAAGTGAATATGAGATTTTTTTTTTCATGCTTCACTTTGTTGATTTATACAACTTTCAGAAATTATCTTTTAAGATATTGTTATAACACTTTATTAAATAAAATACTACTAAACCAAACAGTTTTTTCACAGAATCATGATAGTAGTAGCAATTAAAAGGGAGTTCCCAAATAATCTCCAGTTTTAATGCAGTTTAACCCTAGAACACAACCATGGGTATATAGTTCCCAGCGCAAATTTTCCTATTTTTAATTACAATTTTCAGTACCTGATTTTCTTACCTAAATAATATTTTTCAGTTGCTATTAATGTTTAATCAAAGTATGAAGTTTGAAGTGCCTGCGTGTAAAATATTTCAAATAAAGATTTCTATTTAATATTTTTTTTTGATATTTTCAAAATTGGGTATGATATACCCATGGTTAGTAGTGGTGCAACTATAATTGATGGTTAGTGTTCTAGGATTAATGATGTGAATATCATAGTAGCTATTAAATTTAAAAAAACATTCTAAGGATTCTCACAGTTGGTGAGCTTTCAATTGAAAGCAATGCAACATTATGCAATCTGTCACTTGTCACAGGATTCCTCAAAAATTATCATCAATCCCATCCAATCTTTTTTTTTCCTTTTTAAGCTATTGTTACGTTTTTTAATTATAAGTAAGGTTAGCCATTAAACAGGACAATCTTAGAGAATTAATTATGACTTGGGTATCTCATGGAATTTTTTTTTGTTAAGGCTCCTTTTGTTTGCACAAATCTTCATTTTAAGGCTGTCATGTTTAATATCATCAATACTTAGAAAGCAATTAAACATTTTTTTTTAATTTAAAAATTAATAACATGAAAAAAAAAATTTGTCTAGGGTTGACTGGTAAGATTTTATTAAATAGTAACCACAATTTCGATATTGCAAATTTATGGGTAGTATGATGTATATAGTTTTGGGGGTACATAATTTTGAAGTTCATATTTCATCCATGTGCTGTATTCCTTCAAGATGTGGGCAAATATGGCTCTCCACAACTTCCTATACCCATGTTGCTCTTAGTTGGTTTTGTTGGTCTTTTTACCATTCCTCCAACTGACCCCTATTTTTCCATCCATTCATGCAAAGCTGATCAAATAGGCCCACTGCTTCCTTATATATTTTTATAAAAATCATTTCACCCCAAGCAAGGCGGGAATGCCATTAGTATGTAGGGGGTTACAGAGTGAAAGTGAAAGAAAAGACTGAGTATGGGGAGGAAAGAACAAAAGATGAATGGGATTCAAGAAAATAGATGATGATTGACATTGCATTTACATTTTTGAAGATTGTAGTTAACAGGGATTCCTTTTATCTTCAATATGTCCAAGTTCTCCTAGCTTTCCTTCTTCATTATATGTCCAAAAATTTCAGCTCTCTTTCTGATTCTAAGTGTTTTTGTTTCCTTTTCTACTTTTAGTGGACTAATTTGTCAAACAATCTTAGTCTTGTTATGGTAATCTCTAAACTCAGATTTGACCATTGGAGTATAAGATACGGGGTAATTATTTTTTTTTGTATAGTGAAATAATCATAAAGTGAAATGTATTCATATATTCCCAGGGTTTTTTTAAGTTGTTACATTAGTGGATTTTGTTAATTGGAAACCTTACTGCTTCTTTGCTTCGACATAAGGAAATAAAAACTTGTCACACAGATATCCATTTACATGTCTTCCTTTTCAACTAAAATGATTGTTTCAAAATACAGAATTATAATATTTTTAGAGGAGCATTTTTTTTTTGTTTTATTTTTTTTTTTTATTTTGTGAGCAAAAGTACATTTTATATGGCAGGAATGAGTGTTTATAGCATTTGTTACTTTTTATGATTTAACATGAACAATTGAGAGTATAACTATTTGTTTTAACCTAGAAAGGGTTACTGAATGAAGAATAACCAAAATGGTGGTTAGAAATGAAATGATAATCTTTATTATAACATTAACAAAATACAATACTCGCCAGCAGCATGAAGTACGTAAACCACTGCCCATTGCCTGCTCTATGGTTTTGGTTTTACAATACTCTTTCTCTTAGACTGGCTGCCATCCAAGGCTCTATAGCTCAGTCAGTGTTGCAGCATACCTACAGATGATAATGGGTATGTCCCCATTCACATAAATACAGTAGTAAATACTGTATGTTGGTCTGCAGTTAGATATTCATTGTGGAATTCACTTGACTCACTTCTAGCAGTTGACTACTACTTCTACACACCACTAGTGAATCTTATATGTGTTGTTCTTGTGCAAAGTATTATCGTTCATTACCAACCTTTGTCTGATTATTCTATTCAGTAACCTTCCTTAGGTTATAACAGTCAGTATGGCAAGCATTCAACATACTTACTGGGATCAAAAAGACAATGATGCTTTGCATGCTTAGTCGCTGTTTGCAATGTGAAAAGACCATATGGGAGGACTGACATGCCTAATATAACTATTGGTAGGTGATCATACAAATTCATATAAAGACCATGAATTTGTCTGTGGGGAGAAGGACTTTTGACTGTTGTTAAGGTAGCTACACAAGACAAGAACAATGGAGATAGGAGAAAAAGACATGCAGATTGACAGTGAAAGAGAAGAAAAATAAAATGGATTAAAGACATTAAAAGAAATCACATTCTTCCTCTTCTGATTTCTAACTTTTAGTCTTGTTCTCTTTCTTCACAAAACATGTCAACTCTGCTTTTTCATCTATGTGACTATCAGTCAGAAAAAACCCCTAAAAACCAAGATCGATAAAGTTGTGGTGAGCTATGATTGCCAATTTCTTAAAGGAACACAGCACATAGAAAAAGAAAACTTTCTCTATGGCAATGATTACAATTTGAATTTTGTGAACCTATTAAAGCCTGGAAAAAAAAATGAAAATCTAATTCACATTTCTTTTCTCAGGGACCCTGTATGTACCATAGCTGTACTTACATGATGAATGGGCTAAAATACGGAACAATGAAAGTGCATCGATATGGAATGGCTGGTCTCTATTGCGGTTATCACAAGGTGAGGAAGCAATTGCTTGGATACAAAAGACTGCATTTGGGTTTGTTTCTGTGATATGTTAAAAGGCATGGGACATGATCATCTTGTTTTATATTTTTACAACAGTGTAGGCACATTTTGTTTTAGGAAACCAATTTATAACTAAATAATAATAGAATCAAATACTTAAATTTAATTATGATGGTTGATGAAAAGGGTTTCCTCTTTCCAACTGGCTGGATGAAATGGACTAATTAAGGAATTCCTGGCAACTCTGATGGTGTGAAATGAATGAAAAAAAGAAAATTGGTGGAAAATCAAAGAGATTTTGAGAACAAAAACAAAACCAACATTTGAGACTAAAAATCCACATCCAAAAATAAAATAAAAAAATTAGCATTTGGCAATAAAAAAAATTATCAACTTTTGAGAATAAGACAAAATTTCCTGTATGAAAATGAAAAAATCAACAATTGAGAATAAAAAATAATCCAAAAGTATGTGAAAAAAAATTTAATTTTGAATTAGCTCAGTAATTAAGCACTTAATTAACTTCAGTCTGAGCAAGTAAATTTCATTTTTTTTATTCTTCCTTTTAATGTTTTTCCTAATATTACCAGCGATACGTTTTTGAAAAAATAATATTATCAGCTATATGTTTTTGGAAAAATAATATTATCAGCTATATGTTTTTGAAAAAATAATATTATCAGCTATATGTTTTTGGAAAAATAATATTACCAGCGATATGTTTTTGAAGAAAAAGATATTAATAGAAATAGATTTTTGACAAAACAAAAATATTACCCCCACAAAAAAATGTTGGTATTAAATGACCCATTGAGGTTGATATACCAATAAACAAGCCAAACCAAACCTTTCCAAGATTGTCCGACTCAAAAGGTGTTTTCCAAATAATATGCCTTTATTATAGAAAATTTTAATTTTCTGTATACATTTACATGAATTAATTTTATAGATAAAATTTTATGCATAATGGGCTTCAAATCCTGAAAATAAAAATCATTAAAAGTCACTCCCCACCCAACACCCTGAAATTTCCCCTGGTGGAAGGTATGCCCCCTTGTTTAAGAAATCCTGTTCTAGATTGTGTGATGGATGTTGTATTGAAATAGTGTTAGCCAATTGTAGGCACATTCAAGCATTCCAAGACTGTAAGTGAGTGAAACTTGTAGCTGCATTTGGGCACTTCTGACCTTTAGAAGGTTAAGGATCAATCATAAATGACATCTGTTTGGTGAGAAATTACCTTTAAAATGAATGGGACACATGGCCAAAAATATATTTCATACATTTTCACCGAATTCAAACCATCATGCAATCATTTTGTTGATTAACATATTGTATCTTATACAAATGCATATCTTTGATGTTACAGATATGCTTATTATCTCTGAAATGTGTGGACATTAACACATTGAATTTTAAAGCCCCAATAAAAATTCAATCTGGTGGCTGGAGTTCTTGGGGTCCTTGGTCTGACTGTGTCCCTTCTTGTGGAAAAGGAATTAGATACAGGGAACGCTTCTGTACCAATCCGAAGTAAGTATTCAATTTTCTAATTATAAACCAATGCTTTTATCCATATGTGTCCTTGATATCTTATTAAAAAAAAAAAAAAAAGTTTTTTACCAGAGCTCATATTACAATTTCTGCTATTGTTGTTTTTCTTTAGCTCTCTGTATTACTCGTTCTCATATTGTATTTGTCTTTGCTTGGCCAACTTAGGAGATTTAAATAATAAAAACTGTAATATGAGCTCTGGTAAAAACCGTTTGCTGAGACATTAGTTTTATAAGTCCCAAAAATTCACTCACTGATGTCCTTGGTTGAGTAATCCAAAAAGTGGCTTGACTCGAAGAGTTATTAGTTAGATACTTGGCCACAGCAGAGTGAAAAAAAACTTGGTGAGTTGAGTTACAAAAGGGAATTAACTGTTACTGTGATAGCCAAAGAAGGCATGGCATGTGGAATTAGAACAATCTACCCCTGTAAATAAAAGGTTCAGTTAAAAATTCCACTGAAGGAGGTCAGGGGTACAACAGCCAAAATGTTGTGAATATGGCAATAAAGATGAGACAGTCTGGATAATGTAAATAGTGTATCTCAGAAATATAGACAGATATTGAAATGTTTTTATCTAATTTATTTCTTTTTTATAGTTTGAAATAATTTTTTTACTGGTTGGGGGGGACTTTCATCCCTTCTGTCATTAAATGGGCTTACAATATATAGTAAAATATTACTGAACTGGAAATATCATTCTGAAATATCAAAGTGCTAGATTTCCAGCCATTCCTATTGTTTTTCAATTAGCTGTCTCAAATATGGCATAATGATTTATTGCTGATTAAAATAAACATTGGTTTTATAAAAGCTCCAATTCTATCTTATAATTAAGTTATTTTAAGACAAAAATTTGGGTCTTTTTTTTTCTTTCTAGCAAAAACAAGAAAAGTTAAGAAAAATATTTTAATTTTTAAAAGGGGTTTTTATTTTCCTGATAAACATTTAATATTCCTTGGAGAAGCTAAGTCTATAGCATGTTATATATATTTTTTTTCTTAATTTTGGATAAATAAAAAATGTCCATTATTACCCACTGATTTGGTCAAGTGGATCAATTAATTTGGTTGTTGTACATTTCACGTCAAGGTCAGGTGGTGCATAAAAAATCAGACACTGGTAATGTCACTATGATGAATTAAAAAAGAGCTTGTATGAAATTTCCTTTAGCATAAATAGCAGAATGAGAACAACCCACCTCATAGATTGAATAAAGGGCACTGTTCAGAATTCCCAAAAAATTACCAACTATGGCAGGCATCTAGAGAATGGCTGAAAAGTTGTAACTGTAACAATCAAGATGACTACATTCATCCAACTAAATCAGTATTTTCCTGATGTCATCTCTCAAAATGTACACTATGGTTGAAAAGTTTGAAGCCACCCTCACGATTAGCATAAGGTGAATTTGAGAGAAGAGTGAAAAAAAATGAAAAAGAGCTCTTGAAAAAAAGAATGAAATTATTTATCAAACTTGTACTTTAAGAAGCTTTTACAATGAATGGCAAAAATTTGTGCTGCAATCATCAAAGCTAAAGGAGGATATTTTGACAAGAGCAAAATTTAATCATAAAATGCTTTTTTCTTTTTGGCATAATAAAATTTCAAATAAAAAATCATGTCTCACTTTTTTCAACCATGTATCATAATTTTCTCTTAGTTAAAGTACAAAACAACTACTTTTTGGGTCAATTTAATAAATTACCAGATCGTTTCCTCAAACTTTTGAACTGTAGTGTATAAAATATGGCCATTCCCCAATTTTGTGTTTAGTTCCTAATCTATCCGAAAGGGTCCAGCTTTTCAAACTACCCATCTCACCCACTATGTATGTCTGAAAATGAAAAATATTAAGCATTTTTTTTAAATTTTATATATATATATATATATATTAATATTTTTTTTTTTTTTAGGCCAATAAATTCTCCTGGGTGCAGTGGGTACAGATACACATCAGTTCCATGTGAAGGAAAGGTGAATACATACATACATACATACATACATATATATATATATATATATATATATATATATATATATATATATATATATATTTTCTTTGGCTTTTTTGTATGCTGTGTCCTTTCAGAAGGTGTTTGATCATGGCTCTCCACAACTTCCTATTCCTTGCTGCTCTAAGCAATATCTGTCTGTCTTACTATCTCTCCCAGTCCTTATTCTACCATCCATTTACACAGGTCTAATAGGTTACTCATTGTTTGTGAGTGTTAAATTCTCCAAGCTCTTTTTCTTCATTTTGCATCCTAGAAATGGGATTCTCAACATCCTTCTGTAGAACAATATCTCTGTTGCCTTGAGATTCTGTTTCATATGTGAAAAATTGTCTAGCATTTACTACCATTGATAATATATAGCAGTTTAGCACACTTTGTTTCTAATGATATTTTCCTGATTCTTATTGTTTGTATTGAAAAACCTGTTACTTTCAGTATTTTGATGACACTTTTTGTGTTTAACTGTGAGTTGGAGTTTAAGGTGATTTATATATATATATATATTTATATATAAATTGGTTAAATTGGATGTGTAGGCGGCGTAATGGATTACAGCTTGGAATGAGAAATTGAAGAGCTAAGTTTGAATTCCAGTTGTGTTCATTAAATTCACTTATGTGCAAATAACCTTAGAAAAGTTATGAATCCATCTCTTTCCTACAGCTATGGGTTAAATACTAGACTGGGCTCTTCACTCTTGATTGGTGGTTAGTCTAATAAAAAGATAATATAAATGAATAAAAATGAATAGAAAACCATAATCTTTGCCTTTAACTCCATGTTAGATAAAAGCCATATCCTTCCCAACTTCCCTCTCTCATGGAGCACGGACTCACCGTATTTTTCCAGCTTACAAGACGCACTTTTTTTTTCCTAAACAATACCCTGAAAAGTACATGTGTGTCTTCCAAGATGGAATATAAGGCAACGTCCAGGCTGAAGTAAGCTTGGACGGTCACCTAATTGGCTTGACTGAGAAGGAACATGGATTTGTATGTTGAGTCATTACACCAAGCTGCTATCTAATTCAGCCTTTTATATGATGTAAACTCAGTACTTAGCTGTTACAAGTATTTCCAAAATTTCTTTGATTGTTTTATATTTTTACATGTATATTTTAAAAATTTTTAATTCATTTTTATGAAAATAAAACCACTCTGGGACAATGAAAGTTGTATACTATATTTACTAACAACCAGCCAGTATGCTATACAAACAAAATCGGACAAGTGATTAATGTAAACAATACATGGCACCAGTATGTGAGGGACTCATGGTGAATGTGTTGTTGTATGAGAATGACTTTTTTTTTCTTAGAAATTTCTTTCCAATATTAGGATGTGTCTTCTAAGTTGGAAAATACAGTCGTAATATTTCTATTACAACCCAGGAAGTCTCAAAAGCCTAAGAAGGCTACTGGTTTAAATAAAATCCCAGTGGTTGACCTTAAGAATATAAACCTTGAATTATCACTGATCTTAATGAAACTGTTTAACTACTGCCTGAAGGAGAAATCCTTTCCAAGTCTGTGGAAGGTGTCAAGTGTATGCCCTATTTTCAAGAATTGTGGGTGAGCAACACCTAACATCATGAGGGTATAAGCCTGTACTCCTCAGGGTGGTCTACAGGATACATACATACAATATTGGAAATAAGGCATAAGTTTTATTATTTACAAGGAGATTGTTGTTAAATACTGAAGATATTTTGTGGACATTTAATATTGTTTTATATTTGAAATGAATCAATCTTAAATATTCTGAAATTGAAAATTTTATTTAAAATATTTTTTTTGATTGTTTTTTACAGCCTTGCGAACCAACCACAATGGATTCTGTATCAATTGTTCAAAGAAAGATCAACAAACTTTGTGAAGATTTGTTAAAACAAGAAAGAATAAGTAACAAATATGTTAGTGAAGGGGAATTATTTGGAATTGGTAAGTTCTGGAGACATAATGTATGGATATAAGCAAGAGACCTTGGAATTTAAGTTTCCTAATTTGCTATAAGATATAAATAAAATAATTTTAAAAAAAATGAAAGATGTATACACGTATTTGTTATGATGAAATTGAGAGAAACCAAGAACAGATAGAAAGCAAGTTTTAAGTGAGTCCTTCTCTCTTCATGTCTATCCTTGATTTCTGTTTATATCATTGTCATATGTAGAATGATAGTGCCTTCCAAAAACTAAGCAAAGTATTAAGAAAAAGAAAACATTAATTTCAGACTACTGAATGTAAAGTCCTCTTATATGCCAGTGGATGCTTGACAATTTCCTCACAGATGAAGGAGAGACCTGAAGCAACAGAAACCTGATTCTACAGAAGGATGCTGAGAATACCATGGGTGGAATATGTGAGCAACAGCGGAAGTTTTAGAGAAAATGGAAACAAAAAGTACACTTATACTTTGAATCAGAAAGACAGAGTTGACATTTCTAAGGTAAATAATGAGGAAAGACAGCTTGGAAATTTAACACTAGCAGGACATATTGAAGGCAAAAGGGACAGAGGAAAACAATGTAAAATATACCCCTATTGATCTAGACTAAATGGATAGCAGGGTTTGGGAGAGTTAACATAAAGACAAAATTTATTTATTTTTTACAAAATTTTATATTTCTAAAATGTTGTAAATTTCAGGTGCCTCTAATTGATCAGGTGTTAATGGATGTGTGTATTGAAATACAGTGTTACCCTAATGTCGGTACATTCAGGTGCTACATGGACTGCAACCTTTTGAATATTTCAGCCACTTCCGGCCTTAAAGGATTAAAGTTTATCTATGTTCTCTATATCATTTCACGTGCTACAT